ATAGTGCTATCAACATTCTTTCCCAAGCCTCATGCATCTCCAAAGGAGGCCATGCTTCACACACTTGGCATATGAAGAGCTTTGGCCTGTCATAAAGACAGGACTCGGGCATTCCGCAAATCTTCCTGATTGTTCATTTCCATTGCACCGCAATCCAAAGGCCTGCCTATAACAATGCAACACATTTCCAAATGGGTTTCATCATGCATAATGCATTGTCATGCACTCCGCAACAAGCCCTTGCCCTCTCCGCCAAGGGCACACACAGCTCATGCAATGGCCACTTCCACAGCCTTCCTCACCAATGTACCACTCAAAGACATCTACAGAGCAGCCACTTGGTCCTCAAATCACACCTTCGCTAAGCACTATGCTATTATACCACAACTAGCTGCTGATTCAGCACTTGTGACGGCAGTGCTATCTACAGCCTCTAAGCCCGTGGTCCCCAACACGGTGCCCGCGGGCGCCATGGCGCCCACGGGGGCATTTGCATGTGCCCACCAGGTGCTCGGGGCTGGCCTGGCCCCGGGCACATGGCGCGCGGCGCTTGGCGGGGGGAGGGGGAGCGCGGCCCCGGGCGCACGGCGCTTGCAGGGGGGAGGGCGCCGGCCCCGGGCGCGTGGCGCTTGGAGGAGGCCCCCAGGTGCCCGGCGGGCGAACGGCCACGGCCCCTGGCACCCGGCGGGCGAATGGCCACGCCCCCTGGCACCCGACAACCTGAAAAGGTTGGGGACCACTGCTCTAAGCAGTGACTCAGATTCCCACAATCCTGTTGGATACTGCTTGCCAGTCACCTGACGTAGAGCACCCACGGAGACATCACCCGAAGAAGAAAAAGGGAGTTACTCACCTCATGCAGTGTCCCTGTGGGTGCTCCGTGACCTTCCCTTCCTTCCCTCTATTCGGAATCACTCACTGCTCCAGTGGGGAAGAGGAACTGAAGGGAGGGGGCGAGCCACGCGCACGGGGTGACAGTCAACGGGCAACGCGTGCTCCCCTTGCGTATGCACGGCTCGCAGATGCTGCCAGTAGAAGATTCAGCTCTGAGGCTCCGGGGCATTGCCACACCTGATGTGGAGCACCCATGGGGACACACACCTCGAAGAACAGTCGTTATTGCACAAGGTGAGTAACTCCCTTTTTCTTCAGCCCAAGACGGATCAGCTATCTAACGATCAGCTGAGGGCTAGAAAAACTGACACAGAAGGAAGGAGAGAGGATCGGTAGACTGCCCATCATGCTCTGAGATCCAAATGAAGGGGCATGTCTGTTTCTCTCTGTCCCTGAGGGGACAGGGCAAGAAACCACTGTAAAGTACTTGGCTGCACAAGTTTTCATTGGTCATAGGACTATAAATAAATAACATGAAGATGCCATTCCCTAGAGAGTCTGAAAGGTTTCTCAGCATGTGAGGACAGGGACAGAGCACACAACGTTACAACTGCTAATACAGGTTGGTCCTCCCTGGTCCGGCACCCTAGGGACCTGACTGATCCCAGATGAGGGATTTTGCCGGACCAGGGGAGGTCATTTTTTGACTCCTGCCACTAGCCCTCCTGGGCTGGCCACTGGCCTCCCAGCTGGCTCCCCACCTCCTGCTGGACAGCCCAGCTTGGGGCTCCTTATAGCCGCACACCATGAGCTGGGGCCCCCGGCAACCGCGTGCACCGGGGCTCCCTGGACATTCCCACACACCAGGGTTTCCCAGGCAGCCACATGCACACAGCGCCGGGGCGCTCAGCCCCACTGGGTAGCCACACGCCGGGTATTCCAAATCCGCTAGGCAGCCCTGCTGCCATGTGTTGGGTAGCCTGGCCATCAGCTCCCTGTGGGCAGCCCACTGCTCTGCTGGTTCTGAAGGGATCCTGACTGTTGGCCCTACACCAGGATTCTCTGGTCTTGCAACACCCATGCCGGACCATGGATGTTACTGGACCAGAGAATTCCAGGTAAAAGAGTTTCAACCTGTAAATACTTAATCAGTACATGCCAGCAAATCAAGAGAAAAAGAGCAACAAAACCAGCACTACTAGTAGCACGTGGCAGACTGTGAAACAAAGGTGGCTGCAGTAAGGCCACTATGGCAGACTTATTACTGCAATTATCACCAAACCAATGGCTGATGGGAATAGTCTCAACACTGACACCGGACAAGAATTGGGACAGGTAAAAGCAAGAGAATCCCAACAGATACCAACGAACATTTAGATGTTACAGAGAAGATATTGCCTGAGATGCTGTCTTAGGATCTAAGGTGTAAAGACATGAGCTTTGTGAATGTTTGCAGTGCTGTTGCAGCTGCAGATCACCTTCCAGAGAAGACCCTGGAAGCTTAAATTCATAACTCCGCTAGACACTAAAAACCATGGTTTTAAGTAAAGACACTAGATGTATGGCTTATTACAGTTATCTGTAACCTATTAACCTCTCCCTATACCCTTTATTTTGGAATGTTCACTGGCTATTTCACCTTTAATGATCCCTTAGGATATGAGTTAACTATTTATGTTAAACACCTGCTCCACCTTGATTTAGCTGTGACCTGTTGAATGTTTCCCAGACCAGAAGTGCTCTGTGTAAGCTCAAAAAGTTGTCTCTGTCACTAACAAAGTTGATCCACTAAAAGACATTACCGCGCCCATCTTCCCTTAATCTACTTCATTTACACAGATAATGTGTCTTTTAAAAAAAATATACAGCATATCCATTGATCAAATATCCTGGGATCAACATGGCAAAAGCACCACTGCACACAACATGTACTGCCTTGAAATGTATAAAGGGCACTAAAGGAACAACCATATGAGCCAGCATATGATCTCATGAAGTCTAAACATAGATAAATTATATATATAAATTATATATAAAATTGATCCATGTCACTGCTGGAAGCCAAAAGCTAGTCAAATTTTTTGTGGTCTGTTACCCTAACAAACCAAATCTGAGGGTAGGAGCTGAAATGCACAACTGGCATACGTCCTTTAAAGGGTCACTTTGTATTGCCATATCTATAGGGTCAGATTCTGGCTGATGAGCTGAAACAGCACCAGGTTTTGCGGATAGGGGTACAAGAGTGCAACCCTTTACTCTGCTGTGGGTGGGAGCGACAGCCCATCAAGGTAGATTCACCAACCAATGCAGTGCATAGCCCAGGCAGTTTCTACTAGCATTGTTTCTGCAGAGTCCTAGACTTAAAACTAAGCCTCTTAATGGATGTACACATTGTTGGGGGAGTGAATCCCATATCTGGTGCAGAATGTCCCCTTGCAGGAACAGCAGGATGCCAAACTGAATGGCTCTGAGCTTACATTAATCAAGCCATTACTTTACTCTGTCCTGACACTCCCATTAATTAGCCACATACAGGCTAAGTCTGATACATCAACCCTTTTCTCCACAGAATGGATTTATTCACAAAAATTGCAAAGTGGAATCTGCAAAGTAACATTCATCAGTATCAAACTGCTGTAGATGCACAAAGTGACATGTGGAGGCATATTCTCAGTATTAACTGTTACCTGACAACTGTCATGAGGGATTTTTAGCTGTTCTGTTACTGAGTATGTTAAGAACATTGCCCTGTTCTTATAGTTTGCAATTTGGTTTGCAAATTCTTCTAGTAAAAGAAAGAATGATACAAATGCCCAACAGACATAGGTGTTCACAGAGTGTGATATTAGTGTTTCCTGCAGCCCAAGTCCAAAGTGTGTATATATATTTTGGTTCTTATTTACTATAGAGACATTATACAATTTTTTTTAAAAAAGATATTTTCTACTATAACAATTTTAAAGTCATCCTTTATAAACAAATTGCCAAAGCCAAAATGCTGACTTGTTTCTTCAGAGAAACATTTTAAAGATCACAGGAAACATTCTATTTCATGGGAAGCACATTATAAAGTGTGTGTATCTATTTTTCTGTTAGCCAAAGCTAAATCTTATCACTTTGACAAAAGGACCATTTAAAAAAAAAACCACCAAATTTTTTATAGACATTTCCTTCCTCTATACATATGTTAGTTACATTTCATGCATTCACAACTTTTGGTAGCTTTTTAACTTAATAAAAACTCATTGGTTCTCTCTGTTGTATTGTTGACAAGTTAATAGCGCAACTTCTATCTGCTCAAAAGTCTAAATAATAAGCAATCAAGTATTCTAAAGCCTGTTTTAACACCTCTGTGCTGCATGGCCTACCAACAAAAGTAGATAAAACTGGCAAGAAAGGAGATACAATAACCAATATGATGAAATTTACTATTTGTTTTTACAAACTTTTAAAAATGAATGAACATAACAATATGGAGAACTCCTAAAAGTACCTTTTCTGCAAAAGACACCATTTGCCCAGGTTTACAAAGGTATTTTCATTAGACATCATGGGTCAAACTTTATTCTAAATATACCCAAGTGAATCAAGAATAACTCAATAGACTATGATAGAGAGCCAAATTTGACTCAATATGCATTAACACACAAAAAGGAAAATGTTTGCAGATTTTTAATAAGTGTCTAGAGTACATATCAAATCCCTGATTATTTTCAAGACCACACCGAGACTAATGTAGTGAAATTTTATACAAAAGTAGTCATTACTAGGGTCAGGGCATCAGCAAAAGTTGTGTTTAAATGCTACACAATAGCCCACTTATCACTCCAGTTAGTGACAACATTTTGGAAATATTTCAAACATTCCTACCCAGTGCTGTGCCTACAAAAAATAAAATACTTTTTTCCAGGGTGCCTAAATGCCTAACTGGGCATCCCCAGAGGTGTAGCCCAAGAACAAAAAACATTAACCATAGTAGCATTTCTCAGTGACAAATTCACATTTTATATCCAATATTCAGTTGAAATCATAATCCTTAGTCCGCACATTAAGAAATGTAACTTTACCTGATACTAGAAAACTATTTGACTGCTCCTTATAAATCCAACATTGCAAATTTAAAACAAGAAGCAAAGAG